GAGGAAGAGTAGGGGAGTAAGGAAGTCGAGGGGTGGACACAAGGGTGGAAAGGACACAATTTAGATAGCTTGGGGAAAGGGGATTGTGATGGAAGGGTATAGATCAGGTCGGAGGTGGGGGTTGGAGGGGAGGAGGGGAGGAGGGGAGGAGGGGGACAGCGTTCCCTACCTTTTGCAGAGAGAATTGCCCACTCGTTGCCGATGCTGGTTAGCTGCGCTGATCGTTGATTGCCTGGTAAGCTATCGTGCGGCTGCAGAAATTGGCGGGGCCGACAACGACAATCCTCATCCAGCTTGGTAAGCCCACTCCGTTCAAGGCTTCAAGGTATGAAGCTCTTGCAATCCTCGTCCAGCGACTCGCCACCCGTAATCCAATGGGCCAAACTAAGGGTGACGTCCAGGTATGATCCTCTTGCACTCGTCTTCAGATCTTCGTCCCTTGGCAACTGATTCCAATTTCCAAGCGAAGAGCCTCTGTCTCACCTGCGCGACAGATGCAAAACGCCAGCGCTGGAACCAGCAACGGTATCGGTATGTCTTCTTCCAAGATCGCATTATCCCGATCCCAATTTACGACGTGGCTTGCGCCCATTCTGACAACCTGCAGGTTCAAGGGCGGGGCAGCAAGAAGCAGGGCGTCGTCCTTTTCAGTCTGTCTGTCTGTTTGTCTGTCTGTCTGTCTGTCTGTATATCCCTCTGTTCCTCCGTCTGTCTATCTGTCTGTCTCCCTGTCAGTTTGTCAGTCAGTCAATCAATCAGTCAGTCTGTCTGTCTGTCCGTCTGTCTGTCTGTCTCTGTTTGTCTGTTTGTCTGTCTGTCTGCTTCTCTGCTTGTCTGTCTGTAAGTCTGCATCTGTCTGTGTCTGCCTGCATGCTTTTCTGCGAGCCTGCCTGCCTACACGCGTGCTCTCTCTCTCTCTCTCTCTCTCTCTCTCTCTCTCTCTCTCTCTCTCTCTCTCTGTGACTCAAACGGTCGCCCCAAAAATAAGAAATAAAATAGACACAAGGTAAAATCGTATATCAAAACGACTTCTGGCATCATCAAAAGGGATAGGGGTCAAAACTTCAATCAAACACAAATTCAATAAGAATTTTATCATAATTAATTTAATTTCTAGATTCAAAACATAGAGTATATTGTAAATTTTAAATAAACTAATATATATCATACAAATATCATACAACAAATCAAATATATTACATAGAAATTACAATTGGATTATATTGTTGTATATAATTTAAATTCACATTTTTAAACTTTTAAATAAATAATTTGTTATTATCAGGCCCCCGTCAATTCCTTTGAGTTTCAGCCTTGCGACCGTACTCCCCAGGCGGAGTGTTTAACGCGTTAGCTAGGTCCCTCATCGAATCGCCCCCAAAAACCACCGGGCGTAGACCAAGGACCAACACTCATCGTTTACGGCATGGACTACCRGGGTCATTTTGAATTTAAATCAAAAATGGACTATATCATTCTCTGAGTTTTTGTTTTGCAAATGAAATTACTAGTTCATAATAATACATAGAACTATCAAAAAAAGAATATAAAGAAGATCTTCTTTATATTCTAAATTAGAGATTAGATATATACTCTACACACAAAAAAAAAAAAAAATAATAATAATAATAAATCAAATAGTCCCCTGGGATTGCAGGGTTTGTGTAGTACGTAAAGTGGAAGAGTATTGTCAAGGGTATCGCTAATTGACCAAAGTGGCGAGTACTTACTTAACCCATCCGTCAATGCATCCTGGGCAGAAATGTCAGGTTCGAGCTCCTGATGAGAAGTGAAAGTGCAACGAAAGTCTGTGGAGACTACAAACCAACCACACGTGCACTCGCGTACCATGGCACAGCATAGCACGATGGGAAGTGAGGCGCGACGATTCGAAGATCACCGGAGGGACGAGATCGACTTGAACAGTACTTTTTTTTTTTGAGACTTGAACAGTACTTGACAGTGAAGGACGCGTCAGATCTGCTGAGTTTATTGAGGGCATAACTGCAAGTACACGTCGGGTCGTAATTCATCTGATCGCAATGCGGGGCTATTTGTTCAGAAATAGTATCCCGCTGCTTTCAGTGCGAACAGCCCATCGGGGGGGAAAAAACAAAAAAAAAAGGGTGCGAACAGCCCATCGGGAAAAAAAAAGAAAAAGAAAAAAAAGGGTGCGAACTGCCCTCCTCCGGGGGCCTTGTCCCACCAGCACCGTTGAGTTGAGCCAGCTCAACGGTGCGACAGCAAAAAATGGCTTTTTTAAATCGGGAAAAAATGGAAATAGCATTTTTTTAAGGACAGCTGACGATTTTTTTTTTTTGCAAAATGTTCTTTTTGAGACATTTATTTTGCCGATGTTAGGAGATAATCATGACGTTCACTGCCGTGTGCAACGAAGATAGTGGACTCTGACACATCTTTCCGCGTTTGCCGTGGGCAGTGCTCTCCAACAAAAGTCAAGTCGGGCGGAGCACCGACTTCCATGAACCTGGCCTGTGGCAGTGTCCACGTTCGCGCCCTCTGTGTTTTCTGCTTATCCCTTTGGCTCGGAAGGGACCGACGCCGCTTGCAATCACTACGGTCCGCGTTCGAGTCCCAGCATGTCGAAAACACAGCTCGTGTGCGGACGCAGTCTTGTTTTTCGAACACTCTCGTAGCTGCCGTCTCTTGTCGACATACCGCGTTTCTGGTGACGGGTGATTGGGGGGTTGTGGGGTAGGGCACCTCTTTTGGGCGTACCTTTCTGCGACTAGCAGTCACTGTCGCTGTGTTAGCGTGGTGTCCATCGTGGCACTTTGTGTGGGTATGTTCTTCCGACCCAGCGTTAGGAGTTGCGGTGGCCGTCGGGTAGGTTCCACATATCATGGGGGAAGATGACAGAGCTGTCGAGGACGCCATTGTGCCCATCCTCGCGTGTGCTCTTCAACTCGGCGAGGATGCGGTTCGGATTTTCGAGGACATCTGCAGCAGGCCATCGTGGACGGGGAAGCGTGTGATGGATGACATTTTTGAGGGTGGCTACTGTGATGACAGCGCATCACAGAAGAGGCATAAGTGTACCAGTTGGCAATGGCCCGGGATAGTGACCGTTTGTGATTTGATGCCTCGCAATCCGCCTCGTTGGTGGGTGATGCGTCGCACAGGTGGTGCATGGAAGGACCTCGAGGTGACCGACGACACTGAAGACGACTATTACGTCACCCTGTTGCGCATGCGGAGATCTACCTTCAACCACCTTCTTTGTGTGCTCGCACCACATCTGGAGAAGCAGGTCACCAGGTGGAGGAAGCTTTTGCCACCCGCACAGGTGTTGGCTTATGCATTGCACCGTTGGGCACATGGCGACTCTCATCTCCATAGCTCATGGACATACGGGATGGGAAAAACGAGCAGGCTACGTGCGGTGCGTGATGTTTCCAAAGCTATCATACGTTGTTTTGGATCAGTGATTGGGTTTGGAACGTTCGAGGAGCGGCATCGCCGGATGCAGAAGTTCGCTGCGCTTGGTTTTCCAAACTGTTGGGGGTGCATTGATGGCACTCATGTCTTCGTCGACAAACCCAAGAAGAAGGACGGAGACGACTTTATGGGCGGTCACAAGTGAAGGTTCTCCATCGTCGCGCAGTTGGTGTTCGATACAGACTTGCGCATTCTAGACCTGTGTTATGGATTTCCAGGCACTGTAGCGGACGAGCGTGTCCTGCGGAATTCATCTCTGTGGCGGAGGGGCGTGTCGGGGGAGCTGTTCACACAGGACCCCGAGGACCCGACCAGGCACTTGCGTCCCGAAATTCCCGGAGTCCCTGGGGGATACCTGCTTGCCGACTCAGGGTATCCCATATTGTCCTGGCTCGTGGTCCCTTATGGGCACAGCTATGTGGACCCGCGCACCAAAATATTCGATAGTCGACACAAGGTTGTTCGCTCACTTGTGGAACGGGGCATTGGGCTCTTTAAAATGCGGTTCCAGTATTTCTACAGGCCGCACGTGTGTGATTTGAAGATCGAGGGGGATGAGTTTTGGGCTGCTTGTATAGTGCACAACCTGCTTCAGGCGTGGGGTGATCTTCCAGAGGAGTACGTCCCGCCGCCAGATGCCGGGAGTGAAACACAACCTCCTCCGAGTCAAGCGGTGGCAGGAGAGCTGCGTGTAGTGCGCCATCTCCGGACCAGGGAGCCCGGGGTGCAACTGCGAGACGCTTTGTGTGCACACGTCAACGCCTGGGTCGCACAACGAGCCCGGGTGGGGTGAAGTCACGGGCACGTCCCATGTGGCCATCGTAGAGTGAACACGTGTCTCCATTCAATCAAGGTGGTCGATTATGGCGAAGGCTGGAGGATGCAGCTCATCGACGGTTTTGGGGAGCACAGGGGTGGATAGAGAAGTGGATGAGATTGTGCATGGTGCGCAGACTTTGAGCGATGCCCTTTTGAGTGTGCATCAGGAGTTGCAGGTCCTGCATAGATTCCTTGTCAAGCGGGGAGATGACATCACGGTCGTTCTGAAAGACGGTGGGGAGGAGTGGCGAACGGAGCACAGCCATAGCCATTACTGCGCAAGGAGATGGTGCAAGGCGGTTGGCAGTCGACTGCGGCAATCTCGCCTGAATGTGTGTAACTGGTGCAACGATGTCGTGGATAAGCTTTCCCAGTGGAGGAGCGAATACATGAAATTCACGAAGTTGATTAATGCGTTGAAGGACCGCAATGACGAGCTGCAGTGTGAGCTCCAGAAAGCGCGCGAGCAGCATGCGTACCTGGAAACACAACTGCAAGATGCCATCGCCGCCATCGCAGAGGCCCGTGATCAACGGGATCTCGCATGGCACTATTACGATGAGCAATTCGCCGAGATGACTTCCGATGGGCCGTGTGTTGTCGACACCCTGGCGGAGGATGTGCACGCTGTGATGCTCGAGGATGGAGGAGACGGTGCTGCACCTTCAGGCGACGAAGGACACGTGGCGAAGTGCACCAGCTGCAAGTCGTTGGAGACGAAAGTCGAAGAGCTCGGAGTGAAGCTGGAGGGTATGCGGTGGGCGAACGCCCTACTGCAGGAGCCTCCCTCATTTTGGAATGAAGTCTTCGAGGACTGAAGATGTGCGTCACAGCTGCAGTCTCTTTTTTGGGGTTTGGTGGAGAGAGAGAGAGA